TTTTGCCATATTTAAACATAATAGGTTGCTTTTAGAAATTAATTCTTTTTCTTTTATTAAGCTTTCAAACTTAACACCTAACTCAAAATTTTCTTTTTCTAAATCATTTATTTTGATTTTTGAAAGCTCTAAATTATTTTTCAAAATTTCATTTTGATTTTCAAAATCAACTTTTGCTTTCAAAATCAAATTATCTTTATTTTTAAGTTTTGAAATTAATTTCGTATATTTGGAATTCATGGTCTCAAATCCCAAATACAACCTATTATAAGCATCTTGTAACTCATCAAAAGTAAATGAATTAAATTCATTTGAGTTAGAAGATACCTCGAATTCTTCTTGAGTGGTCATGAGGCATAGGTTGACTACTTCATCTTCATCATTGGAATCATCTTCATCACTCCAAGATGCAACAAATGCCTTCTTCCCCTTTTTCTTTAGAAGAGGATATTCATACATGACATGCCCCTTTGTTTGACAATCGAAACATACCGGGGGAATCTTCTTCTTGGTTGATTCATGTTTCACTTCCTTGGAAATCATGAATATCTTGAGTTCCTTCAAGAGCTTGACCATATCTTCTTTTTGTTCATCATCGTCTTCATCCACCTCATCACTTGAATCTTGATAGCTTTCATTGATGCCTACGTCCTCATTCTTCTTTTTCTTTTTCTTGTTTTTCTTCTCTTCCCTTTCTTCATCTTCCTTCACCATCATCTCATGAGTGAGAAGGGAACCAATTATCTCGTCGAGAGTGAGAGACTTTAGGTTTCTTGCTTCGATAATGGTCGTCTTCTTTGATTGCCACTCCTTTGGAAGAGAGTAAATCATCTTCCTCACAAGCTTCTCATTTGGGATTACTTCTCCATATCCCTTGAGACCGTTGACAATCACAGAAAATCTATTCGTCATAGCTTTGATGTCTTCATCGGGTTTCATCTTGAAGTTCTCGTAGCTATGGTTGAGAAGACTTTTCTTTGATTCCCTCACTTCGTCAGTTCCTTCATGAGTGACTTGGAGCTTATCCCAAATCTCTTTGGCACTGGAACAAGATAAGACTCTTCCATATTCATTTGGGCCTAAAGCACAAAATAGAATATGTATAGCCTTAGAATTAAGCTGGAAATATTTCTGCTCTTCTCTACTCTAGTCGTTGTACTTGCCGAGTAGAGATGAGTAACCGTCCATGATTGAGTTCTAAGCTCCTAGATTGTAGGATTGAATAAAGTACATCATCTTATCCTTCCAATGTGCATAATTTGCTCCATTGAAGAAATGTGGCTTGTTGACCGGTTGTGAATCCATAATAGGATATTCTTCAAGATAATAAGCACCGGAGGAAAAAGTCATTTTTTGTCGGTTACGTTAGAAATTGGTAGAGCTTCTTCAAGGACCGTCTCAAGGTGGTTAAACCTTCTTAACGAGTTAGGCTTTGATACCAATTGTTGGGATTTTCGGAAGCTCGAATCGACAACCGGAACGGTTTGCAAAGAGGGGTCGGAACAGTTTTGTGTTTAAGGAGTAAGGAGAATAAAAGATAGAGAATTGCACATCGATTTATAGTGATTCGACTTTCTCAATCAAAGTCTATGTCCACTACCTTAGCTCCTCACCAAGGATTTTCCAACAAATTCACTAATTTGTTCTTTCTTTTGAGGATAAAGAGTAACCTTACAAACTCCCTAGTTTTTTCGAGCTAAACTAGAACCTTTCCCTAGATTTTACACGAGATTAGCTAGAACCTTTCCCCTTTACAAAAGGATAAGAAATGTAAGAAAACCTCTCTAAGGTAGGTGTTTACAAGATTGAGCTCACAAGAACAAAATATATATAAGAGAAAGATGAAATAAGAATGAAAAACTCTTCTCTTGTGTTTGATTGCTTGGATAGTTGTTCTATTGCTTCTTCAAGTGTCCTTAGCTTGTATTTATAGCTTGGAATGTGTTTGAAGTCGTATATAGTCGTTGGGGATGTTTTGGAGTCGTTTGGGGATGAGAAACAATTAATAAAATAGCTTGGAGCGTGGGGGGAATCGGTACCCCCTCATGGGGAATCGGTTCCCTAAGTGCAATATGTTTTTGACCGTTAGACATGGGGAATCGGTACCCCTTGGGGGGGAATCTGTTCCCCCTGGGGGGAATCGGTACCCCCTGGGCAATCTGATTTTTCTTGAAACCCTTTAAAAAGAAAATATTTCTAGCTCGATTAAGGCTCGAAATACTATGTAAAATTATTTTAAAATAGTTTAAGTATAAAACACAATTTTACACTTTAGTAAGGATTAAAATGAACTTTGAAATACTTGGAGTAATATTTTGATATTCGAATAATTACATCGAATATACTTAGAAAATCTTTTGTAAAATCTTAAAATTTATTTAACTTAATTTGTTATATCGAAACATCAAAATGTTTTCAACAACTTGGATTTGAGAAGAAACTTGGCAGTAACAAAGTATGCAGATTACATAAGTCACTATATGGACTCAAACAGTCACCAAGAGCTTGGTTTGACCGCTTTGGAAACACAATTATCAGTTATGGCTTCTTGCAGAGTCAAATTGATCACACAGTATTTTATAAACATTCAAAAGATGGTAAAGTTGCAATTTTGGTTGTTTATGTTGATGATATTATTCTCACTGGTGATGATGAAATAGAATTAGCTATTCTAAAGAAAAGACTAGCAAAGGAGTTCCAAATTAAGGACCTGGGAGCTCTTAAGTATTTCCTTGGAATGGAATTTGCAAGATCTAAGGAAGGCATATTTTTCAATCAGAGAAAATATATTATTGATCTCCTTGGAGAAACAGGTCTACTTGGTTGTAAGATGGTTGAAACTCCGGCTGAGCCAAACTTGAAGTTACAACCTGCTAAGGATGAAGAAGTAAAGGACAGTGAACAATATCATAGACTTGTAAGGAAGTTGATTTACTTGTCTCATACAAGGCCTGATATTGCTTTTTCAGTTAGCATGGTAAGTCAATTCATGCACTCACTAGGGGCGGAGCATTTTGAGGCCGTCTATAAGATCTTAAGATATTTGAAAGGAACTCCAGGAAGAGGCTTATTGTTCAAGAAACATGGACATCTTCAAGTTGAAGTCTACACAGACGCAGATTGGCCAGCAAGTGTTACAGACAGAAGATCAACGTCTGGATACTGTTCCTTTGTTGGAGGAAACCTAGTTATATGGCAGAGTAAAAAACAAAATGTGGTAGCTAGAAGTAGTGTTGAAGCAGAATTCAGAGCCGTTGCCCATGGAATCTGCGAGGCGATGTGGATAAAAAGGATTCTTGAAAATTGAAGTTTTCTTACTCAACTCCAATGAAGGTCTATTGTGATAACAAAGCTGCTATTGCTATCGCTCATAATCCAGTTCTTTATGATCGCACGAAACACATAGAAGTGGATAAACATTTCATCAAGGAGAAAGTCAATGCGAGAATAATATGCATGACATATCTTCCAACTGATGAACAATTAGCTGATTTACTAACGAAGGGACTACACAAGAAGGAATTTGGTAAGATGACTAGCAAGCTGGCTATGGAAGATATCTTTAAACCACCTTGAGGGAGAGTGTTGGAAATTTGGTCATTGAAAGCTTGATTTAGTCATAATCTGTGAGATATTATAGGATATGTTTTCTATGTAAATATAGAAAGTAAAAGATGTAAATCAATCAAAAGTAGGAAAGTAGAAGTTGTCAAATATTTGCTCTAATTAGTTTCTTTTTTTATTGTAATTTCCCTCTGAATAAAAGGAGCCTTGTACTCATTCAAGAAATAAGACACATATTATTTCTTCATTCTTTTCTAATTCAATACATTCAAATGACAACTTGATCTCGAAAATATAGCATGCATTGTCATAAAATCTTATGATTTAGCCTTCTTGTAGCATAAACTTTCAGAAACGTCACTTCTAATAAGCAATTGGTTGTCATTTTATAAATAGGATATAAGTTTCTTTGCATATGTTGCACTCGGTTCAAATATTCAATAACACTTTTCCATGCAAGAAATTAGGTGTATTTTAGTTTTCTTTCCTCACATCTGCACTTTCTGAATTAGAGATGTCAACGTGCACCACAATTCAAATATTAACATCGCATTAAAATGATGAGAACATCCAGACATTTTACTACAGAAACCTAAAGTTTTGTTAGGCACTTACATCCTCTCTTCCATGTTCATAAGTCCCAAATGCTAACAGCATCTGCTGCGTAGTAAATTAAGCATAATTGGAATCTGGGAAAGGCATAAACAAAAGTTAATGAATGTATAGAAACAGACAATAAGAAATCTGCACAATTTATCAATTAACAACGCAATAAGAACCATATAAATATCCATAACATGTATCCACCCTAGAAAGACAAAAACAGGGCATTATTTCCCAGTTGCTTAAACATGAGAAACTATTTACATCCAAAGAAATTCATATAAAATTGTCCATATGCAAACAATTGGATTCAAATCCCGCAAACATGAAACCTGTCATAAGAAAACAATATCTGAAGTCAAAACTTTTTAAATTGGTTTTCCCAATAGTGATTACAGTAGGAAGCCCATTTATGCTTGCTCAGTATGTTTAGAGCAGAAAGCATAGAATCAAAGCCAGGAAGCCCAACCTGAAAGAATCACTGAAAATGAATAATTGCAATATAAACAGAAAGGAAGAAGAGTGAAAAAATATACTACAAGGGGTGGCTTGTTTTGATACGTCATATATGCAAAAGGTTACACACACAAGATGTATGCAAAAGGTGGTTGTGTCCTGCCCCACGGTTCAAAAAGGGAGGCAGAGTGCATTAATCCGACATCGAAAAGGAAATGGGAGGTCTTGGAAGAGGGTAATGGTCCTGTGACAGCTGCCTATAGCTGACTACAAGGCCAAAGTATACAAACCTTTTCTGCCAACATTCGCAGAGCTACTTCAGTTGACTCGCCAATTTTTTCATAGTTTCCCTTGTCTGAATTATATGGTAAGAGAGACTCATTGCATAGAGCTGAACACATTGTTATGTGAAGATGATTAGCATGGCCCTTGCGCAACGATGACACGCACAAATAGAGAAATGGTCCAAATTTTTTATAAATGTAACACCTAAAACCCATATAATTATACCTATACAGATTATAGATGTCACCTGAAAATTCGTAAAATATTTTCCCATTCAAAATGATTTAAAATTTATTTTCTTAAAATGGTAAATGATATTATAAAAAATATCATATCAAACTATCACATACTATTTAAAACATATATTAATATGGATTTATGCTATCCATATTAAAATAGAGTAAAACAATTTAGTTTAATCATTACAAACCCATATTTTTTAAAATAGTTCAACAGAGCAACTAGGACATTAATAAGTAAATGCCACTAACAAAGTCAAAAATTTCATCATAGGATGTCTTACTAATACTTTAATATATTCCTTGATGTTTGGAGTGCTCTTTACTCTACTCTTGGCTTTTTACATATGTGTGAAAATCATCACACGCTAAGTATATACTTAGTGAGGCAATTTAAAGCAATAACTTCATAGCAGTTGATGCTAAAATTGCACTATCAAGCAAATTTACTATTTTTCCTCTCACTACGAACTTGAAACTTTTCAAGTTCTTGAGAATCAATCTCAATTTAAATAATAATTCATTGCAGCATGGAATGGTTAAACAATCCATTTCACAAATGTACCTTCGCAAGGTAACTCTATCAAGTTTTATGGACTTGATATCTATTCTCAATCAAACTCGTAATCATTTGTTTCACTAATAACTCAGTTTTATTTAAACTTTTACCGGACAACTTATTTACCGCTTACTCAATTTCTCTTACTCAAATCAACAATGCTCTAAACAATTTAATGCTTAACTTTATTTTTCTCACTTATTTAAGCTTACCTGAATGAACCTCAGAGTCATCACTAGATTCAGAAATCTCCTCTTGATCCTCATCCGATTCGACTTCTCTTGTAATCCATTTAAACTTTTTAATCGATTCTTCCAATTCAGAAACTTCGTTAAATATTTGGGTATTTCTTCCACAGAATGGAGGAAAATCCCTAACAACATCCACAAAATGGAGGAAAATATCGTTGTCTTTAGTTTCTGACATTTGAACACAGTCAACATCATCTTACATTAGTAAAGTGTAACTTTACTCCCTAATAACACCTAGTGGCATGTACACATTCTTGACTTAAATTAAGACTCATTTCATATCCAGAAATGGTTAAACGTGTAGCTCTGATACCAATAAATATAAAACCTAAAATCCGTTAAATTATACCTATACAGATTATAGATGTCACCTGAAATTTCGTAAACAAATTTAAATAATTTTGAATGGGAAAATATTTTACTAAATTTCAAGTGACATCTATAATCTGTATAGTTATAATTATACGAGTTTTAGGTGTTACATTTATTAGTATCAGAGCTACATGTTTAGCCGTTTCTAGATATGAAATGAGTCTTAATTTAAGTCAAGAATGTGTACATTCCACTAGGAAGTCAAAAGTTTACTGATAGTTGTATATATACTATGATGATGTTTATTAAGGAGTAACGTTACTCTTTACTAATGTAAGATGGTGTTGATTGTGTTCAAATTTCAGAAACTAAAGACAAAGGTAAGAAATTTAAAAATGTTAAAAATAAGGTCAAGATTGAAATCGACCCAAAGGGACCTGACATGACTTCTGTAAAACGCCTTAAAAGGGTGGATGTTGTTAGGGATTTTCCTCCATTATGTGGAAGAAATACCCCAACATTTAACGAAGTTTCTGAATTGGAAGAATCTATTGAAAAGTTTAAATGGATTACAAGAGAAATATAATCGGATGAGGATCCAGGGGAGATTTCTGAATCTAGTGATGAATCTGAGGTTCCTTTAGGTAAGCTTAAATAAGTGAGAAATATTTAAGTTAAGCATTAAACTGTTTAGAGCATTATTGATTTGAGTAAGAGGAATTGAGTAAGCGGTAAATAAGTTGTCCGCTAAAAGTTTTAAAAAAAGTTGAGTTATTAGTGAAACAAATGATTACGAGTTTGATTGAGAATATATATAAAGTCCATAAAACTTGATAGAGTTACCTTGCGAAGGTAAATTTGTGAAATGGATTGTTTAACCATTCCATGCTGCAATGAATTATTATTTAAATTGAGATTGATTCTCAAGAACTTGAAAAGTTTCAAGTTCGTAGTGAGATGAAAAATAATAAATTTGCTTGATAGTGTGATTTTAGCATCAACTGCTATGAAGTTATTACTTTAAATTGCCTCACTAACGTGTGATGATTTTCACGCATAGGTAAAAAGCCAAGAGTGGAGTAAAGAGTACATAACACTCCAAGCTTCAAGGAATATATACACTATTAGTAAGACATCCTATGATGAAATTTTGACTTTGTTAATGACATGTACTTATTAATGTCCTAGATGCTTTGTTGAATTATTTTAAAAAAATAATTTGTAATGGTTAAACTAAATTGTTTTACTCTGTTTTAATATGGATAGCATAAATCTATATTAATATATGTTTTAAATAGTATGTGATAATTTAATAAGATATGCTATTTTTATAATATCATTTACTATTTTAAGAAAATAAATTTTAAATCATTTTGAATGGGAAGATATTTTACGAAATTTCAGGTGACATCTATAATTTGTATAGGTATAATTATACGGGTTTTAGGTGTTACACATAGCATAGAGCTGAACACATTGCTATGTGAAGAAGACAAGGTAACTGAGCAGGGAAATCAAGCTGTAAAACATGAGAAAATGTTATATAGATGCAAAGCAGAATGGAACAAACCTGAATGATCCAGAAGTCAGGAATTATATGTACTCATCTAGTTTCATTCACCAAAATTTTGTTCCCAAATAATATATATGTATGCATGTATCTCTCTATTAAAAAAAAGTACGTATGCATCTCTAAAGTAGAAAATTACAATCACCAATCATTGCATCTTTCAGTTTATGTCACGAGACAAGCAATATTCAAGTACTTTATGATATTATTCTAGATATCAATCAGTCAAAGACCAGCCTTCCATATAGCAGAATTTGTATAGACCATTCAAACTTATTTTCTGTAGTATGTTTCTAACATCAAAAAAAAAAAAAGGATGAACAAGACGGAGCATATTTATTATTATGTATAGGGAAGCTTCCATCATCTACAAACAAATACCTGAACCCCAGTGCTGTCAAATATAAAACCTTCTGGAGCATAAGTTGTTCCACTGACACCAAATTCAGCAACTTCAGGACCATTTTGAACGGAATGAACCACACAAATCTGAGATAAAGGAGATGCAGAAAGAAATATCATTCTCTTAAGAACTAAAATCACGGTAAAGCTTGATTACATAGAAGCCATAAGAGCACGTCTTCCCTTTGACCAGCTTCAATGAAGCCAAAGTTGAAAATTAACAGCAATAGATTATAAGTGTCTCGGTGCACATAGCTGTTGCTTTCTTCCATAATGTTCGCAACTTGAAAACCAAACCAAAATTTCATTGTCAACATTGAAGCAGCAGGTTAGCAACAAAAGGAAGCAATAATATTAATGACTAAACAAGCAAAGAGGAAAAGTAACTTCGGAGGTAAGAAATAAAACTCTTAACCATCGACTGCTCTAGTACTATTACCTTTGAAACAGACATCATATTTGTCGTCAGAGTTCCTGTCTCGTCACTGCAAATAACTGTGGTGCAGCCTAAAGTTTCTACCGACGGAAAGGATCGAACAATAGCATTCTGTCGAGCCATTCATTTTGTTCCGAGAGCCAAACACCTAGAAAAGGGGAAAACACCAGTAAGCAGCCAAAAGGAAATGCAATTTTATAAAAATCTCTCATAAAAATGTAATATTGAATTGGATTTCAGTATCATTCCTCATTAATGCAAGTTTAACATGTGATGGAAAATTCAACCCATTTGGGGAATATATAAAATACTTTCAGATAATTGATAGCTCCAAGCAATATAAGCTTACAACTACCACAGAAAAGTGAGAGTTTGGGCAACATTTTTAGGTTCTTTAGTGATTTCTGCTATATTTGATGGCACAAAAGATCATATGACAAGGTAGATTCTTAATTCTTACATCATATATTCAGCCAACTCAACTATAAACCAATATCACCAATCTTCTAATAGACATTTTAATCCCCCATTCAGTTTCACTGCATATGTTCTGAGCAGCATATCTATATTTAACAGACATCTGTTTGTCCCACAGGATAAATGATTTTGGGATATTTATATGAAAGAGAAGTTCTAAACACTCACGTGGTTACAACAGCAGGAAGCCCTTCAGGAATTGCTGCAACCGCCAGTGCAACAGCAATCTATGGAAGCACAACCAAGTAATTCAAAGTTAAAATATGTAAGGAAATACGTCTGTTATGGAAATCAACCCTCAAGTCAAAAAAATTAGATTATCATGCAGCATGATACATTTGTTATGGAAATAGGTCTGCATAATTCATGCTTTACCTTGAAGTAATGAATTGCACCACGCAAGATTCCACCATGAGCAGGGTCATGGAAATGACCAATATTTACAATCCACACGAGCACACAAATTCCAGCAATAACCTGAAAATACACCAATATTTAAAAAATATACTGCAGTAGATTAGCTTATCCACCTGATGCCGATTGAAGATTAAAGAGATTATTCACACTCACCTTAGCCAAAAAAAGGTACCAAATTCATCCAATTTCTTTTTCAAGGGTGTCACTTCCTGCAACCAGTTGTAGATAAGAAATATTAGAATAAATGCTTACTGCTCACCTCTGTAAAACCATAATTAAATGTCTTCGATGAAAGTTATAATAAGATGATAAACATTTCATAGAGATAAAATTAGGGGTTTGAACCTCCATACAGCTAAGCACAAAAAAATAATAAAATAAAATACCTCAGCACTAAACTGAAAAGAAAGAATACAAGTCTGATGGTTATTATCTATTCGGGATAGTTCTTTTACCAGCATGTTGGACCATAATCCAAAATCATCCTCATGAAATAAAGAATAATTTTGAACGTATGGAAGATACTTTGTAAAGTTAATATCAGAACAGATATAACGAATATAAAGAATAATTAGAGAATAACAAATTAACCATCCCCCAGGGAAAAAGAAATGTAAGCAAAACATGGTGGTTAAAGTTTTGTCATTTTACATACATCATCTGTTCGCAACATTGAATCACGAATGCTGCCCATAGCAGTGTTTGCACCAACCCCAATAACAACAGCTCTTGCCCTGCCGGCAACCACAACATGATGCAGTGGGATCTGAGACAAATGATGCTGAGCTGTCAGATTGCATTTTGATGGTGCTGAGATACCATGAGTTGGCAGATCAACACAAAGGCAGGAGTTGATTATGATATGTTCCTCATTGGGGGCCGTTTTGAGTGCGTTTCAGTCTTTTGGCCATAACTTTGGCTACAGGTGTCGGAATCACGCATAAGACCCCAATTCGGAAAGTCCCTTTCAATGCGCACGCTGTCCACATCGAGCTTTGCTCCATGTGGCCTTTTCTTCGACCTCAAATTCTGCCATTTTCCCCTCCGAATCACTAGTTTTATTTATTTTTTACTATTTATAGTAATATTTCGCTTATCAGTTAGGAAATCAATCTAAATCCGATTTAGGCCAGATTTTTTACAGTTTGTTTATTTTATTTCGAATTTTAATTTAGAGTGATTTTCGGGATTTTGCTATTTTTGGTAAAATACGAAGAAAAAATATTTTTTGTTATAACAGTCCGGCTTGTGGACTGATTTTTGGATGGTTTTTGATTTGATAATATTCTAATAAACCCTAGAGACTTTTTCTGTGGTTTTTTGGGCGAATTTTCTCCTGTGATTCATCTGTTAAAACGAGCTAACAGGATAATCGTTATTTTGGCCGGCGTCACAACGGTACCCTGGAAATCCAAACAAGGAGCTTTTACCAAGTTTCTAGCTCGGAACTTCAAATGAAACTAACATTTAACTTCTCAAATCTGATTCAGTTCTAGTAAGATATAACAATCATGACTTTCGGTTTCTTAAATGAATGAGTAACTCGTCATGCGGAACAATGACGTACAATAAATTTTTGAAGTCTTACTGAAAAAAGAGTATTTGTCTTGTCTTGATAAACTGCATTTGTTGCTATGGTAGACTCGAGGTCTTTTTCTACAGAGCTGCTCTCACCTACCAACGCAGAAAATCCTCAGCAGAATTGGACATAAGCAGTAAACCACGTATGAAAGGATAAAAAAATTAAAAAAGTCTCTAACTAGCATGCACCTAAGGCTACAAGGAAAAACTATAGGCATGATCTGGTAAGTGAACATTCAGGGAAGTAAACCCTGATCGTTGTATGGCTTAAAACCCACTTAGAATATAAAGAAAAGAAAGCACAATTCCAATTTCCTTGAAAGCAAAAAGAAGATAAGAAGCAAAAAAAAGCAAAAGCATCTGTCTCCTAGCAAAAATAAATGACTTGTGAACTCAAATGTTGATTACTCTGTTTATGAAACAAAGGCTAAAACCATATAAGGGCTTCCAGAACAGACAACTAATTTTGTTCAATCAATTCTAAACCTATTAGAGCTATTGTTAATCTGCTTCCAGCTTGATGAAATAAGTAAAATATGAAAGTTATTTGAACTCGACCACTAATTAGGTATTTGGCACAAAGAAACATCACCCCAAGTCTTCTAATCATCACCAGAATCTAAAGGAACTCTCCATGAAATATGAAACCAAGCTTCAAGTAACCAAAGATTTTAACATAATATTAAAAAAAATGGAAGTCTATCAACCTGGTTATCTAACTTGAAAATGAGAAAGTTAAAAATCGGAGGTCTGACTCCAAAGGGAATCATAAAAATTACCACATAGAGAAACCTTAATCCAATAACCTCTCTAAGTCCTTTACTCTCTAAAATAGCAGCACCAAATTCCAATATTCAAGCAATGCTTAAGATAGTCTAGAAGGGCCACCTCACTCAGTAAAATAGAAGCCACAATATAAGTACATAGAATAATGGTTGGTACCTGTAAGAATTGCTTGATCCACACGTAACTGACCAGTTAGCATCTCAATCATTCTCATATCAGCAGGAATTTTGCTTCCCAGTATTCAATTTATAGAAGGCAAAACAAAACGACAGCTCTGTAAGTATATTCCAAAAACATTTGATGAAAACTGATTCTAAAATCAAGATTACCTGAAAAACTTACCACAAACTTCTACTATGTCTCCTGGAACTAGCTCTGTTGCAAGAAGTATTGAAAAGCAACCTGCAATAGCCACTGAGTGTCAAAATGAATCCAACTAGCATTTCAGCAAAACATCTATTTGGATACAGAAACATAATTAGCTACGAAAATCATTGTCCAAACATACAAGAAAAACTTCGGCCAAAAAACATACAAGCAAACCCACAAATAAAAGCAAACTATTTATCCGCATTAACTTGTAATATAAAAATATCATTTAACAAAAATAAAATAAACACTTCCTCATTATACCAACACATTAAAACCAACACAACACGTAAATGATGTGATCATATCATTATTTGATTTACCATTGCGAAGCACAGTTGCAATATCACCTTGGTAGGCCACGTAACTCCTACAATAAAAAAAAGAAACAAAAGAGAAATAGAAAATATCAAATGTTGTGTGAAAAAAGACAAGGGACCAGTGAATTATCTCCTTTAATATCATCCTATGGTGGATGACATTAGGTACATGCCTTTTGGCTTGATGGTTATGCCAAAATTGTCAATTTATTGGAAGGATCGGGAGATATCCCAGGTCAGTGAGAGATTTATATTGCCTAGCTGCAGTTATACTTTCACTCTCTTTTGTGGCTCTTTCAACAGATCATAGGTTTATTGCCCCAGCTTTTGCCTATTGAAGGCATCGTTTTTATTATAAAACAAATATATTTGACTTCACTAAGTTTGAGATTCCAAGCATACCTCAAGTGCCTTTTCAGCATTTGTTTCCGTAATTACTCCTACTGCAGCATTGGCAGCTAATATCAAGAGGATAACCTGTGAATTAAACAAACAAATATATTATTTTAAGCAAAAGATGTAAACCAAGGATGAAGATGTCTCCAGATCAATTTATTCCTGGTGCTGTTATGTGGTCTATTTGGAAATATAGGAACATGTTAGTGTTTGAGGGGGGTCTAAGGACCACATTAATCTTTTTTTCGAAACTAGACACAAACTTGTGGCCTGGTTCTCTGCTAAATACATAGATTTCTTTATGTCTTTCGATTGTTTAATGGGGGATCCTTCTGTTGCGGATTTGAGGGGCAGACAGGGGAGTAAGGTGTTATCTCGAACTGTTTTGGTTCCGCCTCCTTTTGGTTTCTTTAAATTGAACTTGGATGGTGATGTCACTGGTGATTAGTTGAAAGGGGGCATTGGAGGCACTATTAAAGATTCATGGGGTATTCTGTTGGGTTCAGTCTCAGAGGCAGTTGGACAGGGGCCACCTACAGTTGCTGAATTAATGGAACTTAGAAGGGGATTGAACCTTTTTTTAGTCTCAATGGGGTTGTAAAGGGAGGTTAATCGTTGAGAGTGATTGCCGTGTTGCGGTTAAGTGAATTAAGAATATGGGCGGTTGTCCTAATTTTGTATGTTCGTTGTTGAATGAAATTATTAAGTTAATTAGGAATAAGGATGTGATGATTTTGCATATTTCCAGAGGGGCTAATTGGGAGGCTGATAAGTTGGCAAATGAGGGAATAGGCTGAGTGGGGCTGTGTGTAGGCAAGTTATGTTAGTTTCGAGGGCTTTTGTAATGTTATGTTTAGGTGCAATTAGGTGTTTTATGTTTACTATGTTGTATTATTGGTTGTTCAATAAAATTTGACACACTCTTTTCCTTCTTCCAATGCCATACGAAATTTCCATATTTCGTAAGGTATGAAGGGGGTTTTTAACGAGGTCTCCCTTTCCTATAAAAAAATGTCTCCAGATCACCATTACAAAACCGATTTACTTATTAGCAGGCAGCAGAAGAGTAAGAATGTTGGAAATTAATAGAAGCAGCCATAAATCAGGACAAGTTAAAGAATTCAGAAAACAAACTAGAACAATATTTCAGAGTTGCCAATCTCAAAGCCACTTAACCATATTCTCCAGCTAACAGGTTGTATGGCTAAACTAGACAAAAAAAAATTAGTTGAAGGATCACCAGAAAGAACTTCATGCAGATTATACAATTTTACCCCCTTTCACCAGAAAGCCATAAAATCTGGCAGTTGGTGCTTTTACAAAACAAGTAAATAAATATACATTAAACAATCTGTATCGTCAATTTGTTTTTTTTATAGGAATAGTAGGCCTAGTTAAAAACCCCCTTCATGATTAAAGGATCACAAGGTGCTCTTTAATCAGCGGAATGAAGAAAAGAGTGCCTAAATAATTCATTGATAACCACAAGTTACAAAAACTTAGAAACAACCATACAGTCTCTCTTACAGATAATCAACCCAAATCCTAACAGATAACCCAACCAACCAAACGAAAACATCGTATCTATCCATACCAGCCTTAGCTAAACTATCAGCCTCAACATTGGCTGACCTAGCAACCCATCTAATACTACCATTCAAACCTCTAATCTTATCAACAATAGCTGTCATAATGTCTAAGTACACATAGGGACAGCAGTCGATATTCTTTACCTATTCCACTGCTAATTTACTGTCTGATTCAACAATTAACCTATCATTAAAACTATGTTGAATCGAAGCAAAGAAGGATAACCCTTTCTTAATAGCCTTAAGTTCTATTAAAATAGGAGGACCTGGACCAGCAGCCTCTTGAAAGGAACCCAACACCGAACCATCGTGAACTCTTAGGATGCCCCTAACACCACTCTTCCTCCAGTCTGTAGTCACTTCCGCATCAACATTCAACTTAATAAAGCCCTTTGGAGGGTGAGACCAAGACACAATTTTGATAATAGGAGAGCTTGAGAAAGAGCAACAATCCCCAATTGAAGGGTCACAAATGAGAGAGTCCTTTGGAATAGATACAACCTTGTAGTAAGCTAAGAACCAAGCAGCCAACCTACATCTTGCCATAAAGAATAGATCAATCTGATCTACCCTCCCCCCTCGAACACAACGATATTCCTATATTTCCAAATTGTCCATAGAACCACCCTCGGAATGAAGGAGCAAATTTTAGAAAGAGGAACCAACTCACCCCAAGCAACCATAAAACTTTGAGCATTGACTTGAAAACCTGAAGAAACTCCCCAAAAACTCATAAATTTGTTCCATAAGGACCACACCACCAAGCAAGAAAAGAATAAGTGTGATGAGGTTTCATCCGCCTTTTCACAAAAGGGCAAGCAACATCAACAATAGCTGCGACTCCTCTCTTCTGTAACTCAAGTTTTACTAGCAGTCTCTGCAGCACCACTTGCCACAAAAAGACCTCTACTATAAGAGGCACTAAACCCCTCCAAACGTATTTCTTCCAAAAAGGATCTACTGTACCAGCAGGACAACAAGAATTAACACACGAACTGACAGTATAGACTCATTCCCCATTCCCACACCAAACCAACCCATCTAATAACTCCTGAGAAAGAGTGATATTATGGATCAAACCATTAAATCAACATACTGAGATAATTCCCAGTCACTCAAATTCCTTCTCATATGAACATGCCAAGACCACACTCTTGACCGAAACTCCCTAAACTCAATAAGTTTCTCATTCTTATTTATAGACAACACAAACATTCTGGGAAAACCCACTTTAAGAGGGAAATCATGTGCCCGAACTGATCTTGCTTGAAATGGTTATAGACCATCGATTTCCAAATCCAAGAAGAATGTGCAGGAAGTTTCTCGTTAAACATCAGAAAATTGGGATCCATATTATATTTACAGCAAATAACCTTCTTCCACACTGACTCTTTATCATTAGCAAATCTCCAAGACCATCTCCCTAATCGAGCTCTATTCATATAACTAATGTCCAAAGCACCAAGACCACCAATACTTTTTCCAAAACTCACTTTTGTCCAATTAACCCAATGGATTTTTTTTGTCTCAACTCCTCCTCCCCATAAAAATCTGGCCATGATGGAATTTAGCTTGACAATCACCGATGAAAGAATCTTGAACATGACATTAAATAAATAGAAAGGGAACCCAAAACTGCCTTTAGTAAAACCAGCCTCCCTGTCATTGATAAAGTCTTTGCCTTCCATCCAGCTAGCTTCAAATGAAACTTTTGAACTACCGGATCCCACAACAACATAGAAATTCTCTTAGCACCAAGAGGCAACCCCAAGTACTCCGCAGGAAAATGTCCTACTGAACAACCAATAACATTAGCCCACAGACGAACCTCTTCCTCATTAATATGAATACCAAATAATTTTCTCTTAGACAGATTCAGCTTCAGGCCAGACATAACCTCGAACACATAAGAATCCTCTTAACATTAACAATCTGAGTCTTCGAAGCATTGCAGAAAATGATGAGAACATCTACAAATTGCAAATGAGATAAATTGACTAAGGCCTCATCTTTACCAACCACCAGACCACTAAACAAACCCGAAGATACTGCTTTACAGAGTAGCAGATGAAGCAATTCTCCAACGAGATTAAACAGTAAAGGGGACAGGGAACAACCCTGTCTAAGGCCTCTAGCCATAGGAAATTCAATAGTTGGAACCCTATTTACCAAAACTGATACCGAAGCAGTAGAAACACACATCCGAATCCAGCTACACCATTTTGAATCGAACCCCATCTTAACCATAACTTTAAATATAATGTCCTAATCTACCAAGTCATAAGCCTTCTTGAAGTCTACCTTAAATACACAACCCTTCAAACCTTTCTTCCTTCATAAATCAATTCATTCATTAGCAATAAAAGAACAATACAAAATTTGTCTCCCAGGAATAAAAGCAAATTGAGACTGACCCACTGATAATATCATTAATGCAACATCTCATCCTTCTCGAAAGACACTTAGAAAGGATCTTATACATCCCACCTACAAGGGAAATAGGTCTGAAATTATCTAAGCTACCAATAATAGAGCCTTTAGGGATGAGAGTTAAGAAAGAATAGTTAATGGCATGCTCCCACTCCTTTCCCAAATATTAATTGTGGAAAAACTTTAATATATCACCTTTTAAAATAGACCAGAGCTTCTTAAAAAATCCCATGTTCAACCCATCTGGCCCAAGGGCTTTATCATTATCGCAAGAATTAATGGTCTCCCAAATCTCATCTTCTGTAAACTCCTTCTCTAACAAAAGATTATGCTGCATAAAAATTCTCGAAAAGTCCAACTTAATATCTTCCACTTCCAATGTTGAACAACAATTAAAAGCTTTAAAGAAATGTTCCCTGACACTGGACTTGATAGTATCTGGATCCTTGGTAATGACACCATCAACATTGAGAGCAAGCAGAAAATTCTGCCTCCTCCTAATGGATGTGCAAGTGTGAAAGTACTTAGAATTACGATCTCCACCATTAACCCACTTCTCTCTCGAATTTTGAACCCAAATTTGCTCCTTGATTCTGAGAAGTCTCCAAAGTTCATTTCTCAAGAGCCTCAACTCTTTCGAATTGACAACAATATAGGGAGATAGATTTTGTTGCATCCTCATTTCAATCTGATGAATTTTGTCTTGTAGCACAGAAATGTCCACTCGAGGAAACTGTTTTCTATTCCCAGACCAGCTCTTAATAGCAGTCATTGTATTCCTAATAATGTTAAAAATTCCAACACTTGACTTCTCTTCTTTGAACACCTTAATAGACTCAGCAACCATCTTCTCAAAACCATCCTCAGTCATTAAATAGCTAAACATCCTAAAGGGTCTCATACCCCAATTTTCTTCCCCAATCTCTAGAATGATTACATTATGATCGGAGATAGATTTAGGCAATAAAACCTGGTTGATATCGAAGAATTCTGCTAAGAAATAAGAATTCACCAGAAACATGTCTAATTTTACAAAAGTAGGCAACTCCTGATTAT